TGATATGATTAGCAAAATCTCCCCTCCCCACCCCATCATCCCCACCCACATACGCTATTAGTCATTCCTTTGAATTAATACATTGAAGGCCTGTGTTAAAATTAAAATATTATCTACTAATAGGGAGACAAATGAAGCTATTAACAGTTAGCTAAAATTGGTTGATTGAATTCCTTAATCATTTAGTAAGGTCCTTTGTGAAAAGGAGCCAGAAGTAGTTAAGTTTTGACAAGGGAAAGGAAATGTCCAGAACATGGACTGATGCTTGGAGAGGGAAGATAGGGTTCTGGAGCTCAGTATAGAGCTCTGGTAAGCTAGAGACTAGTTTGAAAGCATTGGCAGCTCAGGTGAAAGGGAGACTGCTAACAAGTGAAGGCTAAGATGATTTCTAATGGACGGTTAAGGTCATTAAAAGCAAATCTTCTTTACTGCCTGTTTTGCTAAGAGCTAGCTTGCTTTGTTCAGGTATGTCCATAATGAAAGAGATCACTTCTTCACATTTTTAGAAAACTCTCCAGCTCTCTGTGGAGATCACACAAAGTGAGATTGAAGAATTTTTAGAGATCAATTGACTTCTGACTCAACTTTGGGTTCAACTTCTTTTTGGAGACATACCTTAAATTTTTTTTTCAAACTACAAAAGAAAGTGTCATTGCAGAATATTCAAACAGTTAAAAAATAAGTAGAATCGAAATGGAAACATCCTTTCAAACACCCACCCCAATTCCAGGCCCACACTGTTTACAGGATGCTCCTTACAGGTTCTTTTCTTTTCTTTTTTTGAGGCAGAATCTCACTGTCTTGCCCAGGCTAGAGTGCAATGGTGCAATGGTGTGATCTCAGCTCACTGCAACCTCCGTCTCCCGGGTTCAAATGATTCTCGTGCTTCAGCCTACCAAATAGCTGGGATTACAGGTGCCCACCACCATGCCCAGGTAGTTTTTGTATTTTTAGTAGAGACAAAGTTTTGCTGTGTTGGCCAGGCTGGTCTGGAACTTCTGGTTAGAAAAGCCTTTGGTCAACCTCTGGATTTCAGACAACTAGTAGGAAGGTCCCCTTCTGCAGAATCTCTTACACAACAAAACCATCCTTCTGTGGCTTTCCTTCTGGAACAGACTGGGCTCTGTGCTGCTCTCGGCCTCCCAAAGTGCTGGGATTGCAGGAGTGACCCACTGTGCCCGGCCCCTTATAGGTTCTTTTCTATGCATTTGCCGACATATATATATGTGTCTGTTTTCTTTTTTTATTTTTTATTTTTTGTAAAAATAAAAAGACACACGTTCTCACTATGTTGCCCAGGCTGGTCTCGAACTTCTGCGCTCAAGTAATCCTCCCATCTTGGCTTCTCAAAGTGCTAGGATTACAGGCATGGGCCACTGTGTCCAGACTATATCTGTTTTCTTACAAAATAGAATAATCTGTCCTTGTTCTGTAGACCTCCTCCTTTTATTTTTTTTATTTGTTCTATGGTGGTAAATATACATAAAATAAGATTTATCTTTTTTTTTTTTTTTGAGACAGAGTCCTACTCTGTCACCAGGCTGGTGCGCAGTGGTGTGATCTCGGCTCACTGCAGCCTCCATCTCCCTGGTTCAAGCAATTCTCCTGCCTCAGCTTCCCTAGTAGCTGGAATTACAGGCACACACTACCACGCCCAGCTAATTTTTGTATTTTCAGTAGAGACGGGGTTTTACCATGTTGACCAGGATGGTCTCGATCTCCTGACCTTGTGATCCGCCTGCCTCGGCCTCCCAAAGTGCTGGGATTACAGGCGTGAGCCATTGCACCCAGCCAAGAGTTACTATTTTAACTATTTTTGAGTGTAAAATTCAGTGGCATTAAGTACATTCACAATGTTGCATAACACTATTTTCAGAATTATTTCATCATCCCAATCAGAAATTCTGTATTCTTTAAATAATAATTCCTCATTTCCTCTCCCTTCAGTTCCTGGTGACCTCCACTTTACTTTCTGTCTCCAGGCTCCTTGCTCATAATTGTTTTTGAAAAGGTAATACATGAACATTATAAAAAACTTAAACAATACAAAAGAGCATATGCAATGTTAAATACTTCCTCCTATGCTTGACCCCCAGGCAACCAGTGTAACCAGTTTCTTAGGTATCTTTCAGAAGAATCTATGCTCATACAAGCATTCATAGACATATACCTGCCTGCTTCTTTACGCGAATAGTAAGAAATCATACTCAGTTCTGCACGTTGCTTTTTTCATTTCATAATATCTGAGATTCTTATATATATATATGTGTGTGCATCATACATATGCATATATATAATTATTTTAATGGCTACATAGCTTATTTATCCCCTCTTCTATTAGGCTGGGTTCAGCAGACTTCTGACTCATTAACTTTTAAAAAAATAATTTTTGTGCCAAAAACCACATAACATAAACTTCATCCTTCCAACAATTTTCAAGTGTACAGTACAATATTGTCAACCACATGCACATTGTTGTGCAACAGATCCCCAGAACATCCCCCTCATCCTGCATGACTGAAATTCCACACCCACTGAACAACTCTTTCCTTTTCCCTCCTCGCAGTCCCTGACAACCAGCATTCTACTTTCTGTTTCTATGAGTTGACTATTTTAGACAGTCATATAAGTAGAATCATGGAATATTTGACTTTTTGTGACTGGCTTATTTCACTTAGCATAATGTCCTCAAGGTTCATCAACTTTGTAACATGTGACAGTATTTCCTTCTTTTTTTAAAGCTGAATAGTATGTCCTTGTGTGTATATACCATATTTTCTTTATCCATTCATCCCTTGATGGACATTAAATTTGCTTCTACGCCTTGAATGATGCTGCTATAAGCATGGGTTTGCCAGTATCTTTTTGAGATCCTGTTTTCTATTTGCTTGGCTATATACCTGGAAGTGAGATTGTTTAATCATATAGTAGTTCTATTTTTAATTTTTTGAGGAACCTCCATCCTATTTTCCATAGCAGCTACACCAGTTTACATTCCCTTGGGTAGTGTCTGTACCATTTTACAATGGTGTTCAAGGGTTCCAATTTCTCCACAACCTTGTTAACACTTATTATTTTCTGTTCTAATTTTATTTTTTGTAGACACGTTCTCTTCATGTTACCCAGGCTGATCTCTAACTCCCGGCCTCAAGTGACTCTCTTGCCTTAGCATCCCCTGCTGAGCAGCTGGAATTACAAGTGTGAACCACACCTTGCTGTATTTTCTTTTGTTTTTTTTTAAATTTTTAAATTTTTATTTTTATAGTGACCATCCTAATGGATGTGAAATGATATTTCATTGGGGTTTGACTTGCATTTCCCTGACAATTAGTGATGTTGATCATCTTTGCATATGCCTGTTGGCCACTTGTATATCTTCTTTGGAGAAATGTCTATTCAAGTCTTTTGTCCACTTTTAAGAGGTTTTTTTTTTTTTTTTTTTTAATTGAGCTATACAAGTTCTTTATACATTCTGGATATTAGCACATTATCCGATATATGGTTTGTAAATGTTTTCTACCATTTTGTAGGTTGCTTTTTCACTCTGTTGTTTGAGTCCTTTCCTGTGCAGATGTTTGAAAGTTTTATGGTCCCATTTACCTATTTTTGCTTTTGTTGCCTGGACTTTAGGTGTTACTCACTAACTTTTACTTCTCTTAGGGGCCAGACTTTCTTTTTTTTTTTTTTTTTTTTTTGAGACGGAGTCTTGCTCTGCCGCCCAGGCTGGAGTGCAGTGGCCGGATCTCAGCTCACTGCAAGCTCCGCCTCCTGGGTTCACGCCATTCTCCTGCCTCAGCCTCCCGAGTAGCTGGGACTACAGGCGCCCGCCACCTCACCTGGCTAGTTTTTTTGTATTTTTTAGTAGAGACGGGGTTTCACCGTGTTAGCCAGGATGGTCTCGATCTCCTGACCTCATGATCCGCCCGTCTTGGCCTCCCAAAGTGCTGGGATTACAGGCTTGAGCCACCGCGCCCGGCCGGGGCCAGACTTTCATCAGGGCAGCCTGGTTGTGATTTTTGCCTTGGTTTCCACCTCAGTGATCTCTAGCACATTGTTTCACAGGAGTGTTGACTGATTACTATTGGTTCCCTGAAGGGATATACCAAGAGATACCTCAATTTTTCTGGGCTTGTTCTTATGCACAATGATGGGAGGCGTGTGGCAGCTCCTCTCATTTTCTCATTTCTTTCCCCTTGTTCTCTCTTTTTGCCCCAAGTTAGAAACAGAGTCTCTTAAGGGGCTTCCTGCTCTTTCCCTCTCCCATCCACCTTTTGAGTGGGGGTCACTCCAGACCAATGGGAGGATGCTGGATTCCAAATGGACCAATTAGCTTATTAGAGACCTGGAATACCTGGATAGCTAGCATCTGCCTCATTGTCCTTGTGGTAACGACCCTCTTGTTTTACTGGTCAACAATTTGAAGATACAAGAAAAATCCTGCTTTTTTTTTTTTTTTTTTCCTTTTGATGGCTTTAATCCACCTCCACAACTTCTGCCCGAGGCCAGTAAAACACAGCCATTCTCTCTTTGTAAAAAGAAAGAGGGGTTGGGTTTCCTTCAATTGTCTGCCCTTTTCTATCTCCTCCACTATTTTTGTTTTACTCTGTAGTTAACTTTGCATAGAGCAGCTTCATGGAGAGGATCTGTGCGGTGGACCCGGGCACTCTCTTCTTATTACCGGTTGCAAAGGCCTCTTCCTTGTTCTAACCTGGGGTTTGTGGGGCTGGGGGATAGAGGAGTGGGGAGTGGGAGAAGAGTTTAGCCATAGTCTTCCTTCTGCATTTCACACACATTCTGCTCTCTCTGTCGCTCTGTCACTCACACACACACACACACACAACACACACACACACACACACACACACACACCCGCCCGGGTCCCTCTCTCTGTGTCTTCCTTCAAGATGACAGGGCGCTGGAGAAAAGGCTGCTGGAATCAGCTGGTAGGTACAGTAGTAACCCGAGCCCCACCCACCGGCTGCCTTTGCTTGCTCAGGTTTCTCCGGTCACTCCTGCCAGGGGAGAAGACATGTAAACGTGCCTCCAGAGGAAGGGCTGGGGGAGCTGGGAGTGGCGGGGGCGGCGGAAGGTGAGCCTGGGAAGGTGTCCGAGCGCCTCTTCTTCTTTGGCCCTTCCCAGTGCTCCCTTGGGGTGTCAGCCCCAACCCCGTTTGCCCCCACTCCGCCTCCCTTTTGGAAGGGATTGCCTTTTTTTTTCCTCTGCGGCGGCGGAAATGACAGTGTGGTGCTGCCGTGGTGTCATGGTGCTGCCCCTGGACTGAGGGGCGAAAACTCTTAAGTTTAGCTCGGGAGACCCAGCATCGGTAGCATTGCGGCCGCCGTGCTATCCCCTGCGGGGCGCGCGGGCTGGCGGATCCCGGCTGCTGCGCGGCGTCGGCGACGGTAGCGGCAGCTGCAGCGAAGGCGGGCGGCGGCCTAGAGTGGTGGCGGCGGCGGCGGCGGCGGCGGCGACCGGGGCCCTGGAGCTCGCGCCGGAGCCCGAGCTAGCCCACTGCGGAGGCAGACCAGCGCCCAGCGCCCTCGAGCGAGCAGAGGAGATGGCTGGCACCTGGGAACGCTATGGGTAAAACGCGCCCCCTCGCCGCGGCCCTGGAGGTCGAGCGTCGTCGCCCTCGCAGGGCTCGGCCCTGGCTCCGGCCGCTTTTCAGGTGCCGCCGGGGCCCGGCGTTAGCCGAGGGCTCTCGGGCTCGGCGGGGCAGGGTGATGGGGCCCGCGAGGCTCGAGACGGCGACGGGGGCCCCAGATCAGCTCCGGCTCCCAGTCATGCTGTTGGGGCTCGGGTTCCTGCCACTGCTCTCCTGGGACAGAGTTTGCACTCCGGGGTGCGGGGCGGGGGCGGCCGAGGCCTCTGCGCAGCCGGGCCGGGCCGGGCGCGGGCAGTCGAGCGAATCCTCCGGCGCCTGGGCGCGAGTCTGGGAAAGGGCACGGCCGCCTTCCCACGCTCCCGCAGCCTGCAGCCTCTTCGTCCCCGGCGTCGCCCCTTGGCCGGCCGTCTGCCGGGCGGTGCTGTCGCAGCAGCCGGCGTGGCTGCGGACGCCCTGCCGGCGGGGAGGCCCGGTGAAACTTAATCCCTTTTCTGCCAGGGGAGCGATCCTCGAGTCTCCGTCTGGATGGTTCCTTATTTCTGGCCTAGCTGTGAAACCAGCTCTGTGGGGGAGAGGGAAAACTTACATATGTCCACAGGACAGACTACGACGCAACCAGGGAGAGTGGGGATTTTCCATTCCTGCCTTGTAAGAATTAAGTAAATAACGGCAGAGTAGATTTACAGAAATATTACTGGTGATGATAAGGTTTAGGTTACTTAGCACTTCGTGTGTTGCACATTATTTTTCAGAAGTGTTGCTTCTTAGAGCAGGAAATTGAAATCCTGGAGTCGTTTTACTCTTTACTTTCTCTCTCTCTTCCACGGTCCCCTACCGTTTTCATGATCACTCACCTTCCTATGTCACAACACTTACATGACTACAGAAATCCCCCACCAGAGCGCCTTGGACCCCAGCCTTTCCCCATCAACCTGTGCCCTCCCAGCCTCCCAGCCATGCTGCATCTTACTTCTTCAACCACTTTGCCTTTTGAGGATTTCTGAGTGTGGGGCGGATAGATGGTGATGGTTGTGTGTCTCTGAGGATGAGCCCTTATAAAGGAATATATTGGAAACTAAATAGAGAAGTACCGTGTGTGGGTTGATCCCTCTGATTCTCAACTTGGGCCAGAAGGGCTGCCTTTAACCCCATTCTGCTCCGTCCCAGTACTCTAATCAGTTCTCTGGCAATATTCCAATAGAAGGGAGTTGCTGAATAGGGAGTTCTCCTCCCCTACTTTTCGTCTGTTTGGGGAGTGGTTTCATTCTACCCCAGATGGTTAGCTTCCCCCTCCCCACCCCCCCGACACTCACATCCCCCTGTCTGTCTCCTCTCATGACTGTACTGAGGGAGAAACTGTCTTTGCTATTTTTATATATTCCTGCCCAATCAATGAACTTAACATGCGTATATAATGTGAATTAGGCCGGGCGCGGTGGCTCACGCCTGTAATCCCTGCACTTTGGGAGGCCGAGGCGGGTGGATCACGAGGTCAGGAGATCGAGACCATCCTGGCTAACATGGTGAAACTCCGTCTCTACTAAAATACAAAAAATTAGCTGGGCGCGGTGGCGGGCGCCTGTAGTCCCAGCTACTCGGGAGGCTGAGGCAGGAGAATGGCGCAAACCCGGGAGGCGGAGCTTGCAGTGAGCCAAGATGGTGCCACTGCACTCCAGCCTGGGTGACAGAGTGAAGACTCCGCCTCAAAAAAAAAAAAAAAAAAAATGTGAATTAGATTTCTCCTGATTGCTCCTCACAACTTGATTCATGTGTTTGATAAAGTTTGGATATTTATCCCTGCCCAAATCTTATGTACAAATGTAATCCCCAGTGTTGAGGTGGGGCCTGATGGGAGGTGACTGGATCATGAGGGCAGATTTCTCATGAATGGTTTAGCACCATCACCTTGGTTGACTGTGAGTCCTTGTGATAGTGAGTAATCTCTCCTGAGATCTGGTCGTTTAAAAGCGTGCGGCACTTGCCCCCAGCTCTCTTTCTTCCTTGCTTCTGCTCACAGCATGTGAGAATCTCCTGCTCCCCATTTGCCTCCCTCCATGATTGTAAGCTTCCTGAGTCCTCCTCAGAAGCAGATGCTGGCATCACACTTCCTGTACAGCCTGCAGAACTGTGACCCAATTAAACCTCTTTTCTTTTTTTTCTTTTCTTTTCTGTTTTTTTTTGTTTTTGTTTTTGTTTTAGAAAGGGTCTTGCCTCAGGCTTAAGCAATCCTTCTATCTCAGCATCTTGAGTAGTTGGGACCACAGGTGCATGCCACCACACCCAGCTAATTTTTGTATTTTTTGTAGAGATGGGGTTTTGACATATTGCTCAGGCTGGTCTCGAACTCCTGAGGTCAAGCGATCTGAGGGCCTCACCAAGTGCTGGGATTATAGGCAAGAGCCACAATGCCCAGCCTACCTCTTTTATTTATAAACTACCCAGTTTCAGGTATTTCTTTAAGGCAATGCAAGAATAGCTAATGCAGTGGTTAAAACACAGGTCCAGGAGTCAAGAAGATCAGAGTTCATTCCAAATCTGATGTTACATTGGCTTATGGCTTTAGGACATTCCTATGACTTTTCTTTCTTAGTTGGTGCACTTGTGTAAAAGCTATAATATTGTGTACTGGATATTGTTAGTCTTGACTTGGTCCTTTGAAGATGAAAGGGTTCTGTAAACCCTCAGCATTATAATTTTTTTTCCCCTTTGAGATGAAGTCTCGCTCTGTCACCCAGGCTGTAGTGCAGTGGCGTGATCATGGCTTGCTGCAGTCTTGACTTCTCTGGCTCAAGCAATCCTCCCATCTCAGCTTCCCTAGTAGCTGGGACTATAGGCACACACCATCACACCTAGCTAATTTTTGAATTTTTTGTAGAGACAGGATTCACCATGTTTCCCAGTCTGGTCTCAAACTCCTGAGCTTAAGGGATCCACCTGCCAAAGCCAAGTGTTGGGATTACAGGTGCGAACCACCACAGCCGGCCAACATTATACTTTTCAAAGAAAGCACTTCCTTTACCTTTTACTGAGTTAGTGGATTGACTGGGTATAAGTAGGAATCTTAGCTTACTGAAAATCTTACTTTAGCATTATTAGCCTCCCACCCCCAGAGTCAAATCTTATCATTGTACTTAGGTCCTAAATCTGTTTTGTCTCCAATACATGTTCAACTGAATGAAAACATACATACAACTAGGCATACAGAGTAATAATGATCATTTAAGTTGGGGCTTGAATCATATCTAATGCACTCCAACCTAACAATCTGAGTCAGACTAATTTGAAGACATAACCTCACCCATTTTTAGCCTATATGAGGGCAGTTTGTTAGTTTCTAATGAAAAGTGGCATAAATAATTTGGGGAACGGCTATATAAGCATAATTATCACCTAGTAGCAGAGTCAACAATATTAAGCACCTATAATGTGCAGAGGACCTCTGCTGATTGGGCTGAGGCCCCAGATTTAGCCCAGTATTTTGGCCTCCTGCCTGTTCCAGGCCAAACTCCATACTTGCAGCTCCAGGATTAGGTCAGGGAAGGGCTGTGCAGGACATGGGTAGAGGCTAGGGACATGAAAGGGTGGTTGTGTCCCTCTTATTTGTTTTCATGACTACTAGAATTCTCATCTGGCATGTTGTACCTTGCAAGGCCACCTCTGGGAAGTACTCCTGTAAATCAGAGTGACTTGGTTGCTTTATGAACATATCATCTGAACGGTGCAAACTGATTTAGATAAAATTGATTTAGTTAATCCCTTACCTAAGAGCAGGGCAACTTGCTTCAACTTGCAGATCCTAAAGTAGTGCCAGTGGAGTCTCACAATTGCATCCAAATATTGCTCTGAGTAGTGAGCCTGTCCATTCCTTCATCCTTCCTGCCATAAAATCTGCTGACACCACAATAATTGACAAGGGAACTACACAAGGAGTATGTCTGTCTTCATCACTCAGCAAACCCCATTGGCTTGGAGAAGAGGAAAGAATGTTGTCTTCTCATTCTATCCCATAGAACTCAAGCTCTGTCTTTTTGAACAGGGACATAGAGCTCTTAAAAGGGTGAAGACAGAGCTGTGGGCACAGAATATGTCCCAAATGGCTGCTCTTGGAAGTACCTGCTTGGTCTTGTGTGTGTCTGTTATTCAATCTTCATGAATCTTGATAATATCCTTGCTGTTGGGCTATGGGGCTTGGCTGCTAGTAGAGGCCAGGGGGTGCTCCGTTTCCATTTAGCATTAAGTTTTTGTCCTCTCTTTGGCACAAAGGTGAGAATGAAGCTCTATGTTCGTGAAGTACTCCTTACTCATTAAGCTGGGTGTCTTGACTTAGAACATTGCATCATCAAAATATGAGATGTAACATGTTGATACTGGATATACAACAGTGTTGGATAATTCAAAATTATTTACATTTTGATGAATGAAATTTTGGTACCAAGATGGTGTTGCACTAACATCTGTACTTCAGGTCTCTCAAAAAATATTGTGTTCATCACTAAGCAGTCTACAGAAGAGACTAGAAAAGTGTTTCTCAACCAGTGTGTTGGGTCATACTAGCAAGTGAGGAGACCAGATGAGCGGTGTTGAGACAAGAAATTCCAGCTGTAATTATCTTCTTGTGCAGATGGCTAATCTACTTTTTATTTACCTTCTCATCCATGGATCAATATATTAAATATGTTCCTTTCTCCACTTTCATGTATTAAAACTCTGCTAAGAGTTTTCTGTGGGCTTAGGTAGTCTGTGGCTGTTTCTATTTGTTTCTCTCTTTCTGTCTTCCCCTTCTTTATGACCATAGGCAGATATAATCCTTTTGATGATGAATCTCCCAGATGCTGAGTTTTCTTTTAGAAATTCTATAAATTACTAAGAATACTAGATAGTATAAGGTGTTTAAAGTGTGGGTGGCAGAAGGATTTTGAGTAATGTGCCAGTATCCCATTATTTCCTTTTCCTTGTAGGATTCACCTGAATACACTCT